AACGATGCAAAACATTATGTTTAACAAGTGCCTGCAGGACGAGTGGACTGAGCCCAGTTCAGCAGCTCTGACCAGGGTTTGTGCAGAATCGTCTTCAGGGATTCAACGATTAGGTTCATCATCATCAATGTACTCATCAGAATAATATGTGCCCACTGATATCTCTGTTGTATTTAAGTAGAACATGTAGAGCTCCACTGTTTGTACTTTTTCTTTCCTCTCGGTTTTTTCTCCTCTGCTTCCTTGTTTCTCCTCCCACTTCCTGCCTCTCTCCCTTTTCTCTTCCTCTCTACGTTCTCTCTCTTTCTGTTCCGCCACACAGTAATATGATCTCGTCTATCAGGCCGACAGAGCCGTGAATCAAAAGACACACACAGAGAAATATAGTCTTAGAGGCCCCACCCCCACCGCACGCTCTTTCTGTCACTCTTTCTCTCTCATCTACAACATCCCTACCCCCAACAACCCTCCGTCTCTCTCTCCGCTCCCTACCCCCAACCACACAACTCTCTTTCTCCACATCCCCAGCATCTACCGTCTATCTCTGCTTCCCGCTTACTGAAACAACTGCACACACCAGCAACTGATACAACACGGTAAAGAGCTTTCCAATAATGATTCTGACGTTAAAACAACATGAAGCGCTTATAGGAACATACAAAACTGAAGTTATAATAACAGATCTTGAGGGATCTTTGTGGATCTCTCTCAGCTACTACCACACCAAATTTTAGCTCAATATCTGTTATATCCTTGTTGTGTCTGCCATTCCCCGATCCGTAGTGTTGCTCATTTGCGCATGCACTAAAAGGAATTCTTCCGGGTCGTACGGATCACCTTTGAATAAGCTAGATTAAGGAAAATGTACTGGTATCATTCCGTTTATGAATAAGAACCGTCTTAATTTACTTAGAAAAGTACGTGCTCTATCTCCGCTGATTTTCATGTTGCTAATTTACGCCACTCGTATTTCCGTTAAAATCATTGACATACTTACGTCATGGTTAAAATGATACGCAGCTTCACCACTGAGCGGCGCCGTTTCACCATGGAAATAATTAATTCTGTATCTTGCAGGTTTTTCTCATTCAGCCCAGGCTGGGGGTCAGGTCTAACGCGTCGCATATCATCTTAATGATTTGTAACAGAAATACGAGTGGCGTAAATTAGCTACATGAAGATCAGTGGAGATAGAGCACGTACTTTTCTAAGTGAATTAAGACAGTTTTTATTCATAAACGACGGCGATCCGTGCGACCCGGAAGTGCACTGCGGATCGTCCTTCCGTAACAGATGGGGGAATGACAGTGTCTCCTGAGGTTAGCTGGCTGTGGCAGCCATCTTGAATTGGAGTGGCTCCAGATGGTGATCAGTTCCAGAGGTTCGCTCAGTGATTACTTCCTGAAAGTTTCATTAAAATATGTCCAGTAGTTTAGGAAATCATTTTAACAAACAGAACAGTTGACTTTATATAATTAATGGCAACATTTTAAAGATCTTGCGATCAATTACCATATGCGTTGGGATCAATCTCAGCAACTAACACAACAAATTTTAAGTTGGTGTCTGTAACACTGACTCTTTTATTGTCATTTTTGTGTTATGCCAGGTCAGTTGGCGCTGGCAGCCATATTGAATCAAGATGACTCAAAGTTAATTAGTTGTCCACTGGTTCATGAGATATTTTGGTAACGGACTGATCCACAAACAAATACAGCGAGGAAAAAACACTTTCATTCTCCTTTCAGCAGCAGACAATTATATTAAAAGAGGAAAATATTAAAACAAAGGCTCGACGTAGGATCAGTTCATTTCATGCCCCGCCTGCATGTCATCGTTCACAAACAGCTTCAGAGTTGAAAGTAACTGAATGACTTTTTTATTTTAACCAGTTTGTTAAAAACACATGTAATTATCACCAGTTTAGAACAGAGGGGGTTCTTAGTGGGTATACTGTGCTTAGAAACCAAAGTACACCGGTTAGTACAATGTAATTGTCAATTTAGTTTGATTTTTAAGCGTATTGAACATTTACAAATGTCTCTGATGTTTATATTTGAATAAACGTACAACAAACTTTGCACAAGAGTTGGCTTTGTATTAAAAACATGTTATAGAATTTACAAAACAGTATCAAAGTAAAACATGTTCAAGTATTACTGTAAGTAGTACATACAGAAGTATTAATTATACAAAAACAGGTTTGAACCAACTAAATGTGTCTATAAAATGTTCTAAATGTGTTAACAATGACACGAGCCCATGCCATCATTGCCTATTACAAGTGGGTATACTTGATTTCCCAAGCTTTTCTAGTGGATGTACTCTATACACCTGCGTATCACATAGACTACACCACTGGGTTGAACCTCCTCTTCGTTACAATCTGCTAACGTTAGTTTAACAGTGCAAAGACAGGAAACTCAACCATTACGTTTGTGTGAGCCACCATTGCTGCACGTCACACCTCAGATCTAGACCTGAAGTTGCAGTGTTTCTTTTTCTACACTTTGTCAATAAACAATAACATTTGTGCACTATTACACATCTAATAATTCTATACTATGAATCACACGAAATGTTTTACAGCAGCTTTATCTGTATAGCCAAACAGGATCCACTCAGGCTTTTTGAAAAGCCTCAAAAAGCTGAAAACATGTAGTTGTCAAATCATTGCTTATTTATTACTTGACTGATCAAAATACTTTTTGCCAGAGATAATATGAAGATCAAACGATGTAGTTCAGCTGTCAGAAAAAAAACGTCTGAGACAACTGCAGACACCAAAGAGGTACATTTATCTTTAGCAGATCAAACAGAACTAGAAGAATGTGTATTTCCAACAGAGAAGCATTTTCCCCTCGATAGGTTCAGTCGTATTTCACAGAGATTTTGTCTGGTGACTGAAACGTTTAGTTTATCCCAAATTAACACCTCTAGAACGTTTGGGCTGGAAACTGCATTAGAGAACATCACTGTTTGCATTTACAACAGGATTAATTATGGTTGTCACCTCGGAGAACTACCAAGTTTAAAGACGTGCATTCAAAGTTCAGACTAAACGTGTTTTAAAATAAAAACTCACTCACCTTTTTCAGCTGTTTCTTATGAACTATACGCAGCTAAAGTAAAATGTAATAATATATGCTGCTGTTCGGCGTATTGTTTTTATGCTACTAGTGCTTTGTGTATTTTATTAACGGTTTTCTTAGTTCATATCTTAGATCTTATTACTGTTTTTCTTTTGCATTTTATACTTTTGTTGGATGTAACTGGGGTCCTGTGCACACAATTCTGTTCCACCACATGTACCACATGGTGGTGGAATGCCAAATACAGAACCTTGAATATAATATAAAATAAAATAAAATACACAAGAAATTCATAGAGTGCTGGCTATTCAAGTTCAAGTTCTCTTTATTGTCATTCACATCACATGTGGTACATGAGGTGGAACGAAATTGTGTACTCAAGGTCCCAGTTACACCCAACAATAGCAAAAATGTACAAAGAACAGTACATAAGAAGCTAAGATACACACTAAGATATACGCTAAACGAACACTAAATAATACACTAAATGATACGCTAAACTGTACTAAAGTATATTAAACTGTATTTAAGTATGCAAAATGGGGAAAAAAGGTGAATGACATGAAACTGGACTGGTTACTACTGTGTGTAGGGTGGGTTACACCAGTGGTTCTCAAAGTGGAGTCGGGACCCCACATCAAGTTCAGGGTCTTGGCATGATTTACACAAACAAAATAAAATGTAACAACCATAACAGCATTTTTTTTTTTTTTGTGACAAATGTAACGAGAGATAAAACATGTTATAAATACATTAAAATATTCTAACGGTAGTTGTGGTCATTATTAATTGGCGTAATTGTAATGTTAGCATGTTGCTGTTCTTTCAGCTCCTCTCTTCTATATTGTGATTTTATGAGATACATAAAAATTAAGTATTCAAATATGTACGAGAAAGAATTCAGTAAATTCAGGTCATTGTACAGAATCTATCAATTGTGGTTGAGATCCTTGTAGAAAATATTCTATTATAATATCATTTACCCCAAAAATAAACACTATGACACATCTGAGTCGGGGAAGGTTTTGAATATATATAACCAAAGATAAAGTTTCATTTCACACTCATATTTGTCTCTTTAGTGCTGCCATATTAAAATGACCTGGTGTCACTACAGCGACACAAATACTGTCTTCACATGTCATAACAATAAAGTTGATTTACATAAACTTGAAACATAAACGGGACAGAAACCCACAAAGAATGAGTACATCTTAGCGGGAAAACAGCTAAATGAATACATAAATGCGGAACAGATCTAGTTTTTTCTTCTATTATCTAACTACTTTCAAAACCACAAAAATGAGCATGTATTATTAAATCTAACTATGACTGAAGACAACACATCAGCTGCACCCAATTAAATAATTAAGCAGTTTATCACTGGCCTTCTTGTGTCTGTGTGTGTTGAGTTACCCACGCATTTTGAAAAGCACCCCCTCTGCGTATACATTTAATTAAAGATAACCACACGGAAAATTAAAAACAACTCAAGGATCCAGTCATCCTGATTCAGAAGTGCTGGAATATGGGATTAAGCCCTGGTTTGTGTTGTGGATTTGACTCTGACCTTTGGCCTCTGTGGAGGGAAGAACAGCAGATTTGAAGCCCACCAGAGGTTTATTGGACATGGTGGTCCTCAAAATGCTCTGCCTGTTATGCATCTCAACAGAACAGCATTTTGAACTCTTGGTACTTTGTTTTTTGGATTCCTTTTGTCAGTTTAAATGATCGGGGATGAAGTTTTAATTATTACATTACTAAGAAGAAAAGAATAAACACCACTTAATGCAGATACCAACTAAAATGAGCCGAATAGGGCAATTAATTACCATTTAATTGAATCTAAAGGAAGTATAAGGACAGGAGAGCACGAAGTAACCCTTGATGGTAACAAGAAGCACCAACCTTGCTGGTCCCAAACGGCGGGTCAGGGTAGGAGAGCTGGCCCAGTCTGGTGTGTTCTGAGGCGGACAGAGGCTGAGGAGGAGGTGGGTAAACTGTTACATCCATGGCTGGAAATACATCCACGTCCCGGCTCTGCTGGGCTTTGCTTTCAACTAGGAGCAACTGAGTAGTTTAAAAATGTTTAGCCTGTGTGAAACAACACTGGGAAACAACCTGAGTCCATAAGGAGCGGGGGTTTTAAAAGTTTTATGCAGGTTAGTTTTTAAAATAAACCTGCTGTAAAAGTCTGAAGTTTGGGGCTGACGCACTTCTCTACACGCCGGCTTCCATGCTCCAGTAACGGCTGCTCTGAGGACCAAAGTTCCCGGTAAACGCACTCCTGTCGTTAAACGGTCAAATAAGAGGGGCGCTTTAAAAAAAAACTGCGTTCTTCCTTCGTTTTGCCCGCGTCCTGTGGCGGAGTCCGGTTAGGATAGAGGACGTCGCTGAACCTGTCCGTGCCGGGCTGGGACTCTGAACGCTGCTCTGCCTCCGCGCGCGCACCGCTCATACAAAGAGCCGACCTCACAAGCTAGCGAAAGTTAGCTGCATCAAACCGGAAGTCTGTTTGGTTACAAAATAAAACACCGCGTTCCGCCATGAAGAATATAAAAGATGTGGGGTGATATAGCAAAGACAGACTCAGATTAATACGTTGAATATAATTATCAACCTTACTGATGTTTTATGTCTGTCGTGCAGTAATAGTCACTGCTAACACGCCCTTAAGAGTGGTTTTATTTTGGTAGGACAGCATTAAAGTGTCTGCTGAATGGAAGCACGTGCTCCATCTAGAGGAGAATGTCACAAAAACAAATAGTTTTTTTTTTGTTGTTTTTTTGCAGCCTTAATTAATATGTCTGAAAAAAAATCAATACCTGTTTGTTTCTTTATATTTTCAGCTTAGGGCTATCTAAAACTGTATGTTGCTCTGAGTGTTCACTTACACATACATGTAAAAATCTTGTCAGACCCATTTTTAAAAATTTGCTTCCAAGGAGCCACATTTTGTCTTCCTTTCAGGTGGTCTTAATCAATATCCCTTTGAGCTTTTATGAGTGCCCTTTAATTATTATTTTTTTAAATATTTCTTCGGTTTTTAACCCCACAATTGACTCAATAGGCAGCCGTGAGTCGTCTGATACAAAAAGTGACCTGAAAAGTGGAGAAAGCAGGTAAAGTGCCACACAGTGTCAGCTGCTACCACATTAAAATTGAGTCAATATCTATAAATGGACTAAAGAGTAGACATTTTTGTGTTTACGGTCAGATGGCTGTGGCAGCCATCTAAAATCAGATTGACTCAAAAAGTTAGATGGACGTCAAATGGTTACTTTCTAAAAGTTTCTACTAAATTTCTATGGTGGTTCATGCGATATTTTGTTGCCAGACAGTCACATGAACACACAAAGTGAAAAACATTAGAACAATGGAAATTAATGTTGAGAGTATAACCAGTGAGGTTACACTGTAACAGTGTTTCAAGAGACAAAGAACAAATACTCATTACAAAGTGATGCACATTTATTTTATGTTTTCCAGAGTGAGTGTTATCTGCAAATAAATTCCTGTTCAGTGATGCCCATAAACAAAGAGACCCTCTGCAGCTAAATGCACACACACACACATATTTCACAAACCCTCAGTTTTACAGCAGACAGATGGCCACGCATGCATATGAAAAAAAACGAGCTCCAACACTTAAAGAACTGGCACACCCTTACATCATTAAACTCTTCATGCTAACACACACACTCAAGCACATGTATATGGACCACACAGCCGAACACAGTAAATATAGACTAATGCATGTGAACGTTGCATGTTTGTGTACACACAACTACTGCATTTTCTGCTTTACCACACACACAAGCCTACATATACTTAGTGAACATACAGTGTGCGTCACCCATCCCCCACATACACACATACATATATGCACCCCTCCCCTTTGAAAAAAGGCATAATTCACTTTCACATTCTCCTCCCCCACACAGTTCCTCCCTATAAAACTCACTAAACCAATTGAACACACATGTTAAAATCCTAACTCGCACACAAACTGTGATCTGAGCACAGATTCCAGTGCACGACTGCAACATACACAAGTACAAACAGAACACACACATGCTCACTCTTGTTTTCCTGTATTTTTATTTTTATTTTTTTTTACTTTCTTCAGACTCCCATGCAGGAAACTCTGTCGTATGTTGGGGTGGAAACTGTACAGAAGTGTTTGAATGATGTGTGACTCTTCATGTTGGGCGAATACATTGTAGATTCACGGCACAGCAATCCACCGTTGAATAAAAACGGCTACAGCTTTCTCAGCGTGACAGATGATGCTATAAAAGAGAAGGAAATCAGCAAAAAGAATTTCATTTAGAAACATGTTGGGTCAAAAAAATCTTTACAACATACAAGTATATAGCAAGAAAAAAAAGCTTTATCATCTTGTGACCATTTGCAATAGCTCTGATTTAAATATTTTGTGTTGCTTCACTCACCCAATCTCATCATTATTTTATAGTGAACTGTTTATTACTCTACTGCACATGACGCACACACACACACACATTTTCTCATTCAAATCCACCCATATGTTTATTGCTTCTACACTCAGTTTCAATACATATGCGGGAAAAAAAATCTTCTCCTTTATGTGTCTTACTGTGTGTTTCTGTAGAAAGGTTATGAACAGTTAATATCTTACCTGTCATAAATAGCTCTTTAAATGACTTCAGTTTGGATAAAAGCTATTAGTTCAGAAGGCAAAATTTTCCTGCAGTTGTTTAAAACAACTCAAATCGCACATATTTTATAGCAGTTTATGCAGGAAGTGCCACCAGCCGCAACAGAAGTGCTACAGCTAGCTGCTAGTACATCTTTCATTTTGGCATTTGAATGAACTGCTATGACATCAATAAGATGAGAGTTGTAATATTGCAGTGATACTCTTTGCTGTTGACCTCACTCACACTTACTGCTAGCTGGTCAATCTACAACAGGTAAGATATTGTTTCTTCATAACTTTGCCACAGATTTTCTCTTCAAACAGTCTGAACCATTACTTTAAGTTTGAAGCTGTATAAAAACTGTGTTGTACCTTTTGATTTTGTTGATGTTGTCATAATTATTTCAAAGGTTCCCGTAACCTCACAGTAACATTCCTGCCCTCTGGTGTTCTTCTGGGGAAAATCGACCATCGTAAATGTATCTGCTGGTCCTTCATTTAGCCCTGTGTTGGACTGGAGACCTGTCCAGGGTGTCCGCCGCCTCTCGCACAGTGACTGCTGGACATGGACACCAGTGACCCCCGCGACTCAAACAGGAAGAAGCGGGTAAAGATGATGGATGGATGGATGAATGAATGGATGATGGAAGGATAGATGGATGGACAGTCCCTTATTGTACCATACAATAATGCAGTCCTTTCAGTAATGTTTTTTTTACCTCTATCATTATACTATGGATTTTTATATTAGCCCCCACATCATTAGGTGGTGCTCCACTTTTACATTTGAGGGACAATGTAAAAATCACAGACAGAGGCTGCAGTTTATTTGGAAGAGACGTGTCATATCGCGGCTGGACGTCTCAACTGACTCAACTGTATTAGTTTGGCTGCAAAGAGCAAAAGCCCCCTTACATTTTGCACGAGTAAACCATTTAGTAAATAAAAAAGATCCACTTGCTGAAGAATTGGCCTCTCCAGGGCTTGTCAACCTTTTTACAGTAACTATTGTGCATGCATAAAATCTGGCACCTTGTGCTTCTTTAGTGACTATTTCTGGCTGGTGTCCAGCTCTGTTGTTTGGGTCCGTTACACTGGCTTTTTAAATTACTTGTATAAACAAGCCTTTTCATAAATTAATTTTATTGGTATTTTATGTTGATAGCAATGTGCAATGTTTCCAGGTGTTGGAATGACTGCAGAGCACAGCTGGAACAGAGGTAGATATGAACACTATTTAGACTAGATGTATTTCAACAAACTGAAAGTAGGCAAGACCCTGTCTAGACCACAATGCATTGCACCATACTGACTTTGAGTATGTTCATTAGTAACTGTAAACAGTTCAGTTACAGCTGACTCTTGTTGGCTGAAAATGTGGCTCTGCTGGATGGACCAGACTGCAGCTGCTCAAATGATTCAGTAAAAGTAAAAAAAAAATAACACACACAAGTGTGCATAAGTAGTGTTTTAGAAATTAAACTTTTAAATAAAAATAAATTCCCATTGACCAACTCGTGCAACTTTGACCAAAAATGAAGCCTTATTTTCAGCTAGAGAGTCTGGTAGGCTGCATGGTCTTTATTTCTTTATTTTTCATGTCCAAAAGTCCTTTGGGGCATACTAAGGGGAAAAATACATTTTAATAAAACTGCCATAAAATAATTAGTACGTTGATTACAAAAAAAAAGGTTTGAAGAAGGTTTTTTTTAATAACTAAAGGCTCATTTAAGGAGCTGAAATGTAACAAAATAAAAAGGTATTTAAATTTGTTTTTATTTCAGGCTGAGATCACTATAAAACGTTAACTAGTTTGTTGTGAATACATAAAATATTAAAAACTGTATCTTTAGGCAGTTTATAAGGTAAATCTTTTGCAACCCTTTTTGACAAAAAGTTAAAGGACATTAAGAACAAGGAGGAAATTAAATATTTTCCTCTTCAGCCTTTCAGGACTTCTGAGCTCCAGAAGAAGCTACAACACTGCATGAAACATAAGGAAAAATAAAATACAAGTCTTAAATGAGCTTTCTGGTCTTCTTTCAACACTTGCTCTTCTCAAGGGCGGACGTCTTCTCCTCTCCCTCTCCGCTTTGCTTTTGCTCTGTCCTGTCTGTGAAACTGCTTTAGAGCCTCTTTGGATTCGGCTGGTTCCTGGTCTATCAATAAACAAGAAAGTTGTCGGCAGCAAATCTGGACCTGGTCTGGATCCCTGCCTTATATGATGGCTTGGTTCGTGCCTCGAGCACCCAGACTTTTGGCAGAATGGATCAGATTTGGGGATTATTCTCAGGCACGTTCCACTGATAAGGTCATTTAATTTGGACATTTTGGAACCGAGTGGACCGACACAGACTCAAGGTAGATGCCATTAAAGTTCTGCCTGTCCCCAAAACAATCGTGTTTATCTGAATCCGGCTCCCTGACTGGCCTTGACGGGCCATCTTGTCTCAACCTGCCTGGAAGTTTTGTAAACCTGATGCTCTACCCTCTCCCTCCTCTCCTACTGAGGAATTCCATGGACTTTTCAGAGGAGCCCAGCTGAATAAACATTCTGTCATCATTTCAGGACTCTGGATTTGTCTCTGGTCGTCCTTGGCACCCCCGAGTGTGCACGGATCTCTCCAGAGGGAACTATTTGAACTTAGTGATTTTATCTGAACTCTGAAGTGCCTCTGTGTGTTGTCTCTGACTGCTCACCGCCCTTGTATCCCCCCCCCCCCCCCCCCGCGCTGAATGTTGGCATCATTATGTGTTCGTGTGCAAATTATTT